TGAAGGAGTGGTGGTCGTATTGTTGATCGCAGTGCCCGAAGATTGTTCCTCTTCAGTCGGTTCCTGACAGTCTGATCAGATACCAGGGTACCTGTGGCAGCTCTCAGTTGGTCAGTTGTCTGGCAGTTACTGCGTAATGGAGGGACATATTTGTCAGGTATCGGTCTTCTCTAGGAGTTGTTCACGGAGGCCTGCCAGAACGTTGTCGATTATTCAGCGTTGCCATAACCTTTCAATGACACTCTGACTCACATTTGACTCTGAGCCACCCTGTGTTGAGTTTCGTCATCTTGAAGCCAGGCAAGAGCTCTTCCTCTGTCATGCTCAGTTGACGTCTTGCCATTGTTGAATTTCAAGTATCAGTATCCATGCAACAATTGCCAGGTTTGTAGGGAAAATAAGCATGCACAGCACTAATCCCACGAACACCATATGCAAATGCTGTTCATGATGAAACATCAGCTTCCACATGCTCAGTAGTGGCGTTTTTGTGAAGCACTCAATTATGTGTTCATTTTTTAAAACCCTACTACATGATGACTATTGGCACCATGGTTATCTGAAGCCTTTATCCAGGTCCTGCAATGGTTTTGAATAAACTACCATACACGGAATGTACAATTTCATCATGTAGAATGCAACCAACCTCATCAATAACATTATGGATTTGTTTTCTTATGGATATCTCAAGACATCGGCTGTATATCCACATTCATGGAAATATTTAAACAGAGATTTTATGACTGCTTCACTCAATACTGGCATGCCTCACTATTTTCGTCATCCAAATGTAATTACTATTCACAATTTAAATCATCTCTCAGCGTCGAACCATTTTAACCATTGAACTGCTACCAAATCAACGTAAAATCAGAACTCGCAGTGGAATGTGGCCGTCATACAAACGTATAATGAACGTCTCTGCCTCTTTTGTCATGCTGCTGGCCTTGATTACATATAAACTCGATATTTTATGTCGAAAATAGACCCAACAAAGATCTGACTGTTTTTCAAAACATTTGACTCAACCACCGACAACTGAAACCTTCATCCGACTGCTGTCATCGGACAATATCCATATCTTAACATCATTGAGTAAATATTTCCGTATAAGGAATGAGTAAATATAAGATTAATGAATACTTAATTGTACTCAGTTTTGCCGGGTTGTGAATATTATGTGAAAAGTGAGCCCTTGCTCTTTCATTGCTCAGACATATATGCAAACAATCTCGGTCTTGACAATTCTTTTGCTCGTGTTCAGAGTTCTGTGTGGAGAACCGGAACTCCAACAACAATCAACTCGGGTGACAGCAGGTTGGTTTATTGCTGTTTTCTGCTACATTCTATAAGTAGAGATCCTGTACGCAATCGTTTGATATTTCTTTCCACACCTGTGATACCATGTTCACCTTTTGATACAGTATAATGGTTTATTTTATACATGACTTGTCAAAAGTCTCGATAACGAGAATCGTGGATAATATTCGGGAACGTCACTGGTCATCATCATCATTGTCCAATTGACTTTTTGTTTCTTTGAAGTTTGAGAAGGGTGGGGGTGCTTTGGGTGGGGGTGTTGTAATCCATAGTTAGTTTAAAATGGTTCATCATCCGAGCCCCCACCAAACATGACGTCTCATGAAAAAATGCTGAAGACAAGTTAATCTCCCACTCGCAGCACCAAGGATACTCAGATGATACATTCAATGTAACCATATGTATATACATAATGTTATAGTGACTAATTCAGGACAGCCATCGTCCAAATATTTAAAAAATCAAAAGCTATGTAGTCAAGACATGTGACTTTATTGTAATTATTTATATGACGCTAATCTGTATTCTATGTAATCCTTATCACTTCCGCATTGTACATTGTATTTGGACTGTCTGTAGGGACGACCACGAGCAGGAGAATGCCGCTCGTTGGAAACGCCCTGGGGTTGAGCAGGTACTCCGCTCACCTTATGTATGTCTTGTGTATTTGTTTGTCATGTAACTAAAGAAGTTTGAACTCAACTATACCTTCGTCTTCATCAACGCACACTTCATCTTAATTATGAGCTAATACCCCAGTTGACGTATAACCACGCGTTGACAACTTGGTGTTAGAATCCGGCTGGAGTAACTTTTTAGCTTACTCCCGATCTTGAAAACCTCTCTATGTGCCTACCATTAACATGATGTATCAAGGATGATTCCCCAAGTTCTACGTCTACTTGAAGAGATTACAAGCGTCTTGATCAACATGGATCCTCAACGCCGCCATCTTCACTGGTGCATCATACAACAACCACCTGATGGACAACCTAAAAGTTAAGGATGAAACACCCAGATACCACAGTCCAAGCAAGTACACAGTATTAAGAAGACATTGACAGCGAAGTAATATTCAGCATTTTAGAGTTTTGAAGTCAGAGTAGGATTATTGTTATTTTTTTCTCATTGGGCATAGCACCCACAATATATGGGCAAGCTCTGTCAACGACACAGGAATAGCACCCATCGTACTTAAACGGGCAACAGTACCCACAAGTACCATCTGAGTCGCGCGGTAAAGTTAGACTCCAGGGCCCCTATTCTCGAAAGGATCCTAGCCCTAGGATATCCTAACTTTTATCCTAGGGTCTAGGATAGGTGCCCTACCTTATTCTCGAAAAGTATCCTAGCGCTGGGATATCCTAACTTAGGTCAAATACTAGGATAGGTTCTGACTTGTCCTAAGTCTATCTTAGTGGAAATCAACATGTTGTGGTTCTTGTTTGTTCACCAATTTTGACGTTGTCAAACAAAATAACTCGCCTAAATTACATTTGAATTTACAAGAGCACACAGTTTTGATGTGTTACAAAGAGTTTTTGAGTTTATATTATCAATTTATCGATAATGAATAGACACACTTCTTGCGATGCACATATTCTTTAGATCTACAAAGAGATTTGTTCAGTTCTTACCTATTCTCGGCCTTTTTAATCACAACATTGCTCTTTCCAGTCACATTGCCGTGAAATGTCAATGTCAAGGCCAACTTGATAGGGGAAGTAACTCCGATCCTGTTTATTTCCTAGGTGAATTTTTCAGTTTGTGAGATATGCATAATGAGAGTTCAAATGACGATTTTCATAAAAGCAAATCACGATGAAAATATTTTTTGCACATATCTTTAATATCCTTATTGTTTTTTGGCAGACTTTCAAACTCTGAAGTAGAAATGTTATCGCCTCGTCAAAAAATTAATTTTCAAAAAACTACCATATAATGTGATGAAAATATCGAATAATTTCTTCTAGATCTACTAAGTCCACCAAAAGCTGAATTTCCTCATATTATGTGTTTTTTTATGAAATGAATCATGGGTAATATTTAGGGGAATCCCCAACTTAATGAGGGTTTTTCTATCTCACCTACTGAAGAGCTCGCTATCCTAGCTAGGATAGGCAGCACAAGTTAGGACAGGGATATGATCGTTTCGAGAATGGGTCTTATCATAACGGTAGGATGTCCTAGCTTCTGTCTTAACTACTTAGGATCTGTCTTAGCTGGGACACTTTCGAGAATAGGGGCCCTGGTTTCAAATTTCTTAATGTGAAATATTTGCTGAGATGTTTAATGTGTACTTTTTATGTGGCCAATTATTGTCATTATTTGGTACTGAGCCTCACCTCCCGATTTCAAAGATATTTTCCAAAGTTTTAAATACCTGGATGTGAAATGTACATTACAAAGATCATTTAATTATTTTTCTAATAAGTCAGACTGGCAAGATGATCACATTTATACCGTAATTGCATAGATATATTTGTTGCACGAGATGTCAATGACTTGTTCCTGAATTGTTCCTTTGTGATTATTTACCGATCTGAACTGTTGGTATTTATATAGCTTCACTCCTATCAGTTTGGACTCAGTTTATTTAAGCTTGGGGTCCAAGCTTTACGGAGCAGAGGGAAGTTGTTATAGGGACTAATTCAGGACAGCCATCGTCCAAATATTTAAAAAGTCCAAAACTATGTACTCAAGACATGTGAGACTTTATTGTAATATATACATGACGCTAACCTGTATTTTGAATCCCTACTGTACATCCTTATCACTACTGCATTGTAAATTGACTTGTCAGCCTATTAATTATTGTATAAGACATTTATAACCTTCATTGGTAATCCCCCTTGGCCGTGTCTACCATCACATCATCTGGTCAAGGAAGTGCTATTGTTTTTCTGTCTGTCCATTGATGAGTCGTCGCCTGTCCATTGTTGTAAAAAACTGTATATATACTTAGTATGCTCACATCTAGACAGTGAAGGAGTACGAGTTCGGTATTTGGACTGTCTGTAGGGACGACCACGAGCAGGAGAATGCCGCTCGTTGGAAACGCCCTGGGGTTGAGCAGGTACTCTGCTCACCTAAGTTATGTCTTGTGTATTTGTTTGTCATGTAACTAAAGAAGTTTGTAATACATTTTTATTGGAGCGGATCTGTTACAAAGTCTTCATTGTATATATCATTCAAATGTTATAATTTCCATGAATAGTTGAAACTTTCAGACATTATCTGTCTTCATGGTATTGAACTAAAGTGCATACTGTTGTGTACTGACTCCGACCTTCTAAATGAAACACATGAGATATCGTAGGTCTGCATAGTTTAATCGCACGGTTCGAAGTGAGGTACATCTGCCAAGGTTATTACGTCACTGTGTGACGTAATCACACCACCTGCTCACACGCGCGGATGTAGATGACATAACATAACATTTCCCCCCTTACAAAGAATACCTGAGCGAAACCCACTGAATAGATAAACAGTTCCTATAAGTAAAAGCTAAAACTTCTTAAACATAAACAAACTATCTGAACTATCATAAACAGATGAACTATTACCAAATAAACACTTGAGTTAGTGTATTTACTTTGGCTTACTTTAACTAGAAAGGTAAAACTTTAACAGGAGATAAAATTCAACGACCATTCAGCTAATATTTAGAGTCCACTTTGTTAGATGTTCCCTAAGTACAGGTTCAGTCTATCTGGAGGACCTGGATTGTCCTGCTTGAGCCGTCTAGGAGTGGGCTGAAGCACTGGCTCCAGTGAGCTTGTCTCACCACATGAGACACTAGCATGATTAGAGTCTCTCGTCGGTGCTGCACACCTCTCTGGTAAATCTGGTTCAATTTGAAGGCTAATATTGTGTTCCTCTCTGGATCGCAACTGGTCGATGTGTCTGCGACACTGCCCGTTAACCACATCGACATCATAATGTCTCTCACCATGCTGAGCAGTAACTTGTCCTGGTACCCATTTATCTGCACCACGATAGTCTCTCACCCACACTTTACCGTCCACTTGTCTGGTCTCTGTCATATTACCACTTTGACTCAACAGCTTTGTTGACATAACAGATTGAATATCCGGTTTTAGCAAATCCAGTCTTGTTCTCAGTTCTCGTCCCAAGAATAACTTGGCTGGTGTCTCATTTGTGACACAGTGCGGAGCAGCCCTGTATGCTAACAGGAACTGAGCAACTTTCTTTTCAACATTTCCATCACTATTTTCGGATGCTCTCATGGACTGCTTAAAGGATTGTACCAATCTTTCGGCCTGACCATTCGTCGCTGGATGGTACGGAGCGGACAAAACATGCTTGACTCCATTACTCTTCAAGAATGCCTCAAACTCATTTGAAACAAATTGTGGCCCATTATCAGTTACTAACTGATGTGGCAACCCAAACTGGGCAAACAATTTTCTCACTTCCTTTACTGTAGCTGCTGAAGTTGTAGACTTCATGATTATTATTTCTGGCCATTTGGAATATGCATCCGTAATCAATAGGAACATATGACCTATAAAGGGGCCAGCAAAGTCCATATGAATACGATGCCATGACCACGGCCGCACTGGTGCAGACGATGGATTTGCCTGATTACTTTGACATGCTGAGCATGTCTTGGCGATACCCTCAATATCGCTGTCAATACCAGGCCACCAAATGTTAGCTTCTGGCTACAGATTTCATCTTCACTACACCAAAATGGCCCATGTGTAGTTCTTGTAATACATGTTCTCTCATCTTCATTGGAATGACAACTCTCATTCCCCACATCACGCAACCCATATGCACAGACAGTTCATTTCTCCTTGTGTAAAAATGTTTCATTAGAGCATTATCTTCATGCTCTTTGGACCATCCATTCATCACTGCTGTGTACACTTCAGACAACAGTGCATCACATCTTGTTTCGTTCCTCACGTCAGCGCAAGACAGGGGCAGCTGCTCAAATTGGCTGTTATAGAACAGCGCTACATCATCATGAGAATTCTCATTTTGTAATGTTGTACTCAAAGGCAACCTAGACAAGACATCCGCATTGGCATGCTTCTCTGACGCTCTGTACTCAATAATGTAGTCATATGCACTCAGTATTAGCGCCTCTTTCAGCTGCAGACAAAGTTCTTGATGCAAATGCAATAGGTCTCTCCAATCCATCACTCATCACATGTGACAACACAGCCCCAACACCATACGAAGAGGCGTCACATGCTAGCCGTAATGGACGTGAAGGATCATAATGACACAGAACCTCAGAACTGGCTATCGTAGCTTTGCATTTGTTAAATGCTGCCTCACACTGAGGAGACCAAACCCACTTCCTGTCCTTCCTCAACAGGTTATTCAAGGGGTGAAGAACTTTTGACAAATTTCTCATGAAGTGCCCATAGTAGTTCACTGCACCCAAAAAGGAACGAAGCTGAGATACATTTTCCGGTCTTGGTGCATCTTGTACAGCTTGTACTTTGTCCTGACTTGTATGCAAGCAAGCCATTTCTGTCAATCACGTGTCCCAAGTACTTCACAGAGTCAACAAAAAATGTACATTTTTGCTTTTTGACTCTCAAACCATAGTCCTGCAATCTCTTTAACACCTGTTCGAGGTTTCTGAAGTGTTCCTTATCATTTGCACCAGTCACCAAAATATCATCTTGGTGACACAACACTTTATCAAGTCCTTGCAACACTTGGTCCATGGCTGCCTGAAATATCGCTGGAGCTGAGGTGATACCAAATGCTAGTCTTGTGTATCTGAACAACCCCTTCGGTGTGTTGATTGTCAGGTACTTCTGACAATCAGCATCAACTTCCATTTGTTGATAGGCATGAGCCAGGTCTATTTTAGAAAACTTCTGTCCTCCTGCAAGTGTGGCAAACAGATCTTCAATTTTGTGTAGCGGTGCACTTGTTAATGTTAAGTACTGGATTCACTGTGGATTTGAAATCCCCATATCCTTACGCTTGAATCACTTTTGATCACTGGCACTATAGGAGTTGCCCATCACTGTGATCAACTTTGACTAACACACCATTTTTCTCCATCCTATCTATTTCTCATTTACCGCTCTTGTAGAGCACAGGGCACTGGACTTGCCTTCATGAATCTTGGAGACATGCCATCTTTTAAAGATAAGTGAGTTCTGATATCCTTAATTGTACCTATCTGATCTGAGAAATATCACAGTATTTCACCAATAATTCTTGAATTTGTGTATCACCCTTGTCTTCCTTCTGCAATAGTGAATCTCATCATCTCGAACGCTTCCAGTCAATTTTAGACAAATGGTAGCCATGATCTTCGGAGCAGGGTGGTCCCTCCCCCTTCACAACGTGTAAATCAAGTTCATGTACATCTTTGCCATTTGTAACGTCAACTTTCATCATTCAAAATCAAGAACATGCTGACCTGTGTAAAGTCTTCATAAGTATTTCCGGCTTTTCGTGACCGGCATCCTTTGAACTTCTTTTCAAAGGTGCTCGTTGATGATCGAGTGCCTCGACCGGTATCCAACTCAAATTGCATATCACTGCGTTGACATTAACAGTCACCCAAATAACATCGGCACCTTTTCTTTAAGCATACATATGACTTAAACAATCCATAAGGTCATCAGGATACAGTTCACTGTCATTTTCTGTGTCAATTGCCTTCACGAGAAGTCCTTGAATTGTTTACATCGCCATACATGTTTGCTCACCGCCACACTCGGAAGATGAAGGCCGTGAACTTGAACCTGGGTCATGACTCGACCTCTGACCTCTACACACCGACTGCAAATGCCCTCGCTTGTGACAGTTCAAACACACGGTGTCTTTATGCTTACAAGCGTTTGTGAGATGAAAAACGCCACATCGAAACACCATTTACTGCCAGAGTTTTAGGTTTGCTGTTAAAACATATACATCCGCAGTACTTCCCTTCAAACTGTCAGAGCCTCTGCTTAGTTCCTCGCAATCCTTCGCTGCTAACTCCATAGAATTTCGCGATAGCAAGTGCACGATCAAGAGTCAGGTCATTTTTCTGCAAGTAATTTCCTTTGAATTGAAGTAGATCTTAATCCAAGCACTAACTGATCACGTAACGTTCATTCAAAGTGTCTTCAAACTGGCAATTCGGTAAGTCCTCTCAAAACCACAGAATATTGCGAAATAGTCTCACCGTCAGCTTGCATTCTCTTGTGAAATCGGGTATCTCTCTGCTATCACGAGCGGGGCTGGTGTGCAATGATTCTGTAACAGGGTTACCAATTCACCAAGAGTCCGGTCTTGTGGTCTTGCTGGCACGGTCAACGACTTCAGCACTGCATAAGTCTTACCTCCAATCATGGACAAAAATCCTGACACACGACGAGCAACAATGACTTCATTAGCATCAAAGAATAACTGCACTCTTTCGGCATATGATGCCCAATCCTACTTGTTTTCTTCAAAAATCCCAACTTCGCCAATGACGCCCGCCATATTGAAATATCACTGAACAATTAACCACGTTTTCCAATGTCAAACTTCAACTTTCACTGCTAACGATGAAATATTCATTAGCAAATGTAATTAGCACTTCCAATATAGGTAGGAATTCCGTAATCCTCTTCGCCACTGTTATGTTATGTCATCTACATCCGCGGCGTATGAGCGCGTGTATGAGCACGTGGTGTGATTACGTCACATAGTGACGTAATAACCTTGGCAGATGTACCTCACTTCGAACCGTGCGATTAAACTATGCAGACCTACGACATCTCATGTGTTTCATTTAGAAGGTCGGAGTCAGTACACAACAGTGGCGACGAGGATTACGGAATTCCTACCTATATTGGAAGTGCTAATTACATTTGCTAATGTCATCTACATCCGCGCATATGAGCGCGTGAGCACGTGGTGTGATTACGTCACATAGTGACGTAATAACCTTGGCAGATGTACCTCACTTCGAACCGTGCGATTAAACTATGCAGACCTACGATATCTCATGTGTTTCATTTAGAAGGTCGGAGTCAGTACACAACAGTGGCGACGAGGATTACGGAATTCCTACCTATTTTGGAAGTGCTAATTACATTTGCTAATGAATATTTCATCGTTAGCAGTGAAAGTTGAAGTTTGACATTGGAAAACGTGGTTAATTGTTCAGTGATATTTCAATATGGCGGGCGTCATTGGCGAAGTTGGGATTTTTGAAGAAAACAAGGAGGATTGGGCATCATATGCCGAAAGAGTGCAGTTATTCTTGATGCTAATGAAGTCATTGTTGCTCGTCAGGTGTCAGGATTTTTGTCCATGATTGGAGGTAAGACTTATGCAGTGCTGAAGTCGCTGACCGTACGGCAAGACCACAAGACCGGACTCTTGGTGAATTGGTAACCCTGTTACAGAATCATTTCACACCAGCCCCCGCCGTGATAGCAGAAAGATACCCCGATTTCACAAGAGAATGCAAGCTGACGGTGAGACTATTTCAGAATATTCTGTGGTTTTGAGAGGACTTACTCGAATTGCCAGTTTGAAGACACTTTGAATGAACGCTTACGATCAGTTAGTGCTTGGATTAAGATCTACTTCAATTCAAAGGAAATTACTTGCAGAAAATGACCTGACTCTTGATCGTGCACTTGCTATCGCAAATTCTATGGAGTTAGCAGCGAAAGGATTATTGTGAGAACTAAGCAGAGGCTCTGACAGTTTGAAGGGAAGTACTTCTTCGGATGTATATGTTTTAACAGCAAACCTAAAACTCTGGCAGTAAATGGTGTTTCCGATGTGGAAGCTTTTCATCTCGCAAACGCTAGGGCATAAAGACACCGTGTGTTTGAACTGTCACAAAGCGAGGGCATTTGCAGTCAGTGTGTAGAGGTCAGAGGTCGAAGTCATGACCCAGGTTCAAGTTCACGCCTTCATCTTCCGAAGTGGCGTGGTGCAAAAACATGGCGATGTAAACAATTCAAGGACTTCTCGTGTGAAGGCAATTGACACAGAAAATGACAGTGAACTGTATCCTGATGACCTTTGCGGATTGTTTAAGTCATATGTATGCTTTGCAAGAAAAAGGTGCCGATGTTATTTGGGTGACTGTTAATGTCAACGGCAGTGATATGCAATTTGAGTTGGATACCGGTCGAGGCACTCGATCATCATCGAGCACCTTTGAAAAGAAGTTCAAAGGATGTGAATTACTTAAAGCCGGAAATACTTATGAAGACTTACACAGGTCAGCATGTTCTTGATTTTGGAATAATGAAAGTTGACGCTACAAATGGCAAAGATGTACATGAACTTGATTTACACGTTGTGAAGGGGAAGGGACCACCCCTGCTCGGAAGATCATGGCTACCATTTGTCGAAATTGACTGGAAACGTTCGGGAGATGAGATTCACTATTGCAAGGAAGACAAGGGTGATACACAAATTCAAGAATTATTGGTGAAATACTGTGATATTTTCTCAGATCAGATAGGTACAA